ATATATATTAAGACTATAATACTGTAATACTATAATATAGAATATCCAAGCTCTAATATAATATAATATAATATAATATAATATAATATAATATAATATAATAATATTGTATATGACAAATATTATAATAATACTATAATATATAAGTATTTTATTATTATTATTCTAGACTCCTAGAGTTGGAAGAGACCCCAAGGACCCCCCACTTCAAACAACATTGTAATAATATTATTATGTTGACCATTAGATTGTTATTTTTACAGGTAATTCCCAAGTTACGAACATGACAGATTCTGTAGGTTTGTTCTTAAGTTGTATTTGTATGTAAGTCAGAACGGGGACTTTCCGAAGTGTAACTCCAGCCTAGGTAGATAAATAGAGAGATGCACTGTGGATAGCATAGGGAAGGGTGAACACCCTTGTGCACCGTGTATCCCAGTATGTTTAGTTGCTGATTCGTTCTGCTCTGTTTGTTGGGCAGATAGAGTTGGAAAGGGTAGGAAAGGGTTAAGAGAGAGGCAGTGGTTGGGATCATGCAAATTCCACACCAATGGAGAGAGTAAGGAACACTGGGATGTCTCTGTGGTGAAGGAAACACATCAAATCTAGGAGGACATTGTCCCTGAATGAAAACACTCCTTGGATGGTGGGCAGGATGTAGTTCAGGGTGGACATTGGCAGGGGCGGGCTACATGTTCCTGGTGCTCACACCATGTACCCCAGGCCCCTGCACAGGTCCCACCGCTGTATCACCACCCCAGTTTCCATTCCAATGTCATAGCAATCCATATCCCAATACCAATGGCTTCTCCTACCTGAAACCTAACACATCTCTCCCTATTCCTTTCCCATTTAGAAAATCCAAATATCCCAAGAGGAACAGAAGACTCAAACGGTAAGGGAGGAGTTGCGAGATTCTTTTAGGTGCAGAAATGCAGGAAGAGTTTACCCCGCTGCTCCTCTATCAGCATCCATTAGTGGCATCTTCCATTCTTCTTAACGGAGCCAGACTGAACATCAAGAAAGTCTGGGAAATGTAGTTTAGGGCAGGGCCTTGGAAATGTACTTTAGGGCAGGGCCTGGGAAATGTAGTTTAGGGCAGGGCCTGGGAAATGTAGTTTAGGGCAGGACCTGGGAAATGTAGTTTAGGGCAGGGCCTAGGAAATGAAGTTTAGGGCAGGGCCTAGGAAATGTAGTTTAGGGCAGAGCCTGGGAAATGTAGTTTAGGGCAGGGCCTGGGAAATGTAGTTTAGGGCAGGGCCTGGGAAATGTAGTTTAGGGCAGGGTCTGGGAAATGTAGTTTAGGGCAGGGTCTGGAAAATGTAGTTTAGGGCAGAGCCTGGGAAATGTAGTTTAGGGCAGGGCCTGGGAAATGTAGTTTAGGGCAGGGCCTGGGAAATGTAGTTTAGGGCAGGGTCTGGGAAATGTAGTTTAGGGCAGAGTCTGGGAAATGTAGTTTAGGGCAGGGCCTTGGAAATGTAGTTCGGGGCAGGGCCTGGGAAATGTAGTTTAGGGCAGGGCCTTGGAAATGTAGTTTGGGGCAGGGCCTGGGAAATGTAGTTTAGGGCAGGGTCTGGAAAATGTAGTTTAGGGCAGAGCCTGGGAAATGTAGTTTAGGGCAGGGCCTGGGAAATGTAGTTTAGGGCAGGGCCTGGGAAATGTAGTTTAGGGCAGGGCCTGGGAAATGTAGTTTAGGGCAGGGCCTGGGAAATGTAGTTTAGGGCAGGGCCTTTGGAATGCTTTGGCATAGGGCTCCTCCCCTTCCCAAAACGCACTGCTCCCTCCTTTCACCATTCCTAATGCCGAGAGAGTCCATTACTTCCAGGGAGAGGAACGGCAAGGCAGGCACTAAGGCAAGCAGCCTTTTTGGCTTTGTCTTGCTTTGCTTTCTTAAACTGAATATGAAACTGATTTTGGGAGCCTTCCAAGATTTACAAAACAAAAACGAAATAGTGAGGGGTCAGTTTCACTTTCTTAATTTTTGGTACGGACTGTGCATACGCGTCGGATATCGCGTCGTAAGTACGAATCATACGAAACGGATACGACTTACGACGCTTTCCGATTTTTTTGCACATGCCTATGGGAAATATCAATTCTTTGTATTCTTACGACTGATTTTCCTCTTCAGGTTCAACCAGCGCCAATGCCAACCATTTTCGGATTCTTCTGGCCTTCATCTTGACAGTCACGCTGGAGATGACGTGAGAACCGTCTTTTCGGAGACTTCCGCTTTCCTCCCAATGGCTTCCTCCAAGCCCGGCTTCCACTTCTCCGTCAAACTTTTCTTTTCGTCTTTTCTTCTTCTACTTCTTTCTTTCATTATTTTTTTTTTCCATTCTTTCTTTTTTCTAAAACAATCAAACAAAAACACTGACGCTTCTCGCTCTCGGTCTCTTTCTGTCCGTGTTTCGGCTTTGTTCTCCGATTTAATTAAAAACAAACCAACAACCAATACGACAATGCACCCAGGTCAATGCAAATTCTTTGGGTTGTATTTATTTATTTTTTTCTATTCATGAATCACAAACAGGAGCCACTCTCTCGGCCTCAAAGAAAGGTTCTTCCAAACAAAGCTTAGCAAGAAAACCCAACGTTAGGGTCAACATACGTTACAAAACACTTGAAGCTCACAACAATAGCGAACAGTGTATTCACTATGTGATCAGCATCACATTGACCTTCACACTATGGACTCAGACTTGGTTTGGAGTATATTAATCAGCATTACATGGTCTTCACACTATGGACTCAGGGTTGGTTTGGAGTATATTGATCAGTATTACATTGCCTTCACACTATGGATTCAGGATTACTTTGGAGTATCTTGATCAGCATTACATTGACCTTCACACTTTTGACTTGGATTTAGTTTGATCAACATCACATTGACCTTCACACTATGGGTTCAGGCTTGGTTTGGAGTGACTCAGGATTGGTTTGGAGTATGTTGATCAGTATTACGGCATTCACACCATTGACTTGGGCTTAGTTTGGGGTATCTTGATCACCATCAGCATTACATGGTCTTCACACTATGGATTGAAGATTACTTTGGAGTATCTTGATCAACATCACATTGACCTTCACACTATGGGCTCGGGCTTGGTTTGGAGTGTCTTGATCAGCATTACATTGGCCTTCACACTATGGATTCAGGCATAGATTGGAGTTTCTTGATCAGCATCACATTGGCCTTCACACTGTGGGCTCAGGCTTGGTTTGGAGTGTCTTGATCAGCATCGCATTGACCTTCACACTGTGGACTCAGGCTTGGTTTGGAGTATGTTGATCAGTATTAGCTTGGCCTTCACACTGTTGACTTGGGCTTAGTTTGGAGTATCGTCATCAGAATCACATTGGCCTTCACACTGTTGACTCAGGCTTAGTTTGGAGTGTCTTGATCAGCATCACAGTGACCTTGACACTGTTGACTTGGGCTTAGTTTGGAGTATCTTGATCAGCATCACATTGTCCTTCACACTGTTGACTCAGGCTTAGTTTGGAGTATCTTCATCAGAATCACATTGATCTTCACACTGTTGACTTGGGCTTAGTTTGGAGTATCTTGATCAGCATCACATTGACCTTCACACTGTTGACTCAGGTTTGGTTTGGAGTATGTTGATCAGCATCACATTGACCTTCCTATCATGGACTCAGGCTTGGTTGATCAGCATCACATTGACCTTGACACTGTTGACTTGGGCTTGGTTTGGAGTATCTTGATCAGCATCACATTGGCCTTCACACTGTTGACTCAGTCTTGGTTTGGAGTTTGTTAATCAGTATTATTTTGGCCTTCACACTGTTGACTTGGACTTAGTTTGAGTATCTTGATCAGCATCACATTTGGCCTTCACACTGTTGACTTGGGCTTAGTTTGGAGTATCTTGATCAGCATCACATTGACCTTCACACTGTTGACTCAGGTTTGGTTTGGAGTATGTTGATCAGCATCACATTGACTTTCCTATCATGGACCCAGGCTTGGTTGATCAGCATCACATTGACCTTCACACTGTTGACTCAGGCTTGGTTTCGAGTATGTTGATCAGTATTACCTTGGCCTTTACACTGTTGAGTCAGCCTTAGTTTGGAGTATGTTGATCAGCATCACATTGGCCTTCACACTGTTGAGTCAGCCTTAGTTTGGAGTATGTTGATCAGCATCACATTGACCTTCTCACTGTTGACTTGGGCTTAGTTTGGAGTATCTTGATCAGCATCACATTGAGCTTCACACTGTTGACTTGGTTGGAGTATCTTGATAAGCAGCACATTGACCTTCGCACTGTTGACTCAGGCTTGGTTTGGAGTATGTTGATCAGTATTACGGCGTTCACACCATTGACTTGGGCTTAGTTTGGAGTATCTTGATCAGCATCACATTGACCACACTGTTTATTCAGGCTTGGTTTGTAGTATGTTGATCACTATTACCTTGACCTTCACACTGTTGACTCAGGCTTGGTTTGGAGTATCTTGATCAGCATTGCATTGGCCTTCACACCGTTGAATTGAGATTAGTTTGGAGTATCTTGATCAGCATCACATTGACCTTCATATCATGGACTCAGGCTTGGTTGATCAGCATCACATTGACCTTGACTCTGTTTACTTGGGCTTAGTTTGGAGTATGTTTATCAGTATTACCTTGGCCTTCACACTGTTGACTTGGGCTTAGTTTGGAGTATCTTGATCAGCATTGCATTGACCTTCACACAGTTGACTTGGGCTTAGTTTGAAGTATCTTGAAGAGCATCACATTAACCTTCACACTGTTGACTCAGGCTTGGTTTGGAGTATGTTGATCACTATTACCTTGGCCTTCACACTGTTGACTCAGGCTTGGTTTGGAATATCTTGATCAGCATCATATTGGCTTTCACACCATTGAATTGGGATTAGTCTGGAGTATCTTGATCAGCATCACATTGACCTTCGTATCATGGACTCAGGCTTGGTTGATCAGCATCACATTAGCCTTCACACTGTTGACTCAGGCTTAGTTTGGAGTATGTTTATCAGTACTATCTTGGCCTTCACACTGTTGGCTTGGGCTTAGTTTGGAGTATCATGATCAGCATCACATTGACCTTCACACTGTTGACTCAGGTTTGGTTTGGAGTATGTTGATCAGCATCACATTGACCTTCCTATCATGGACTCAGGCTTGGTTGATCAGCATCACATTGACCTTGACACTGTTGACTTGGGCTTGGTTTGGAGTATCTTGATCAGCATCACATTGGCCTTCACACTGTTGACTCAGTCTTGGTTTGGAGTTTGTTAATCAGTATTATTTTGGCCTTCACACTGTTGACTTGGACTTAGTTTGAGTATCTTGATCAGCATCACATTTGGCCTTCACACTGTTGACTTGGGCTTAGTTTGGAGTATCTTGATCAGCATCACATTGACCTTCACACTGTTGACTCAGGCTTGGTTTGGAGTATGTTGATCAGTATTACGGCCTTCACACTGTTGACTTGGGCTTAGATTGGAGTACCTTGATCAGCATCACATTGACCTTCACACTGTTGACTCAGGTTTGGTTTGGAGTATGTTGATCAGCATCACATTGACTTTCCTATCATGGACCCAGGCTTGGTTGATCAGCATCACATTGACCTTCAGACTGTTGACTCAGGCTTGGTTTCGAGTATGTTGATCAGTATTACCTTGGCCTTTACACTGTTGAGTCAGCCTTAGTTTGGAGTATCTGGATCAGCATCACATTGCCCTTCACACTGTTGACTCGGGCTTCGTTTGGAGTATGTTGATCAGCATCACATTGGCCTTCACACTGTTGAGTCAGCCTTAGTTTGGAGTATGTTGATCAGCATCACATTGACCTTCTCACTGTTGACTTGGGCTTAGTTTGGAGTATCTTGATCAGCATCACATTGAGCTTCACACTGTTGACTTGGTTGGAGTATCTTGATAAGCAGCACATTGACCTTCGCACTGTTGACTCAGGCTTGGTTTGGAGTATGTTGATCAGTATTACGGCGTTCACACCATTGACTTGGGCTTAGTTTGGATCAGCATCAGCATCACATTGACCACACTGTTTATTCAGGCTTGGTTTGTAGTATGTTGATCACTATTACCTTGACCTTCACACTGTTGACTCAGGCTTGGTTTGGAGTATCTTGATCAGCATTGCATTGGCCTTCACACCGTTGAATTGAGATTAGTTTGGAGTATCTTGATCAGCATCACATTGACCTTCATATCATGGACTCAGGCTTGGTTGATCAGCATCACATTGACCTTGACTCTGTTGACTTGGGCTTAGTTTGGAGTATGTTGATGAGCATCACATTGGCCTTCACACTGTTGACTCAGGCTTAGTTTGGAGTATGTTTATCAGTATTACCTTGGCCTTCACACTGTTGACTTGGGCTTAGTTTGGAGTATCTTGATCAGCATTGCATTGACCTTCACACAGTTGACTTGGGCTTAGTTTGAAGTATCTTGAAGAGCATCACATTAACCTTCACACTGTTGACTCAGGCTTGGTTTGGAGTATGTTGATCACTATTACCTTGGCCTTCACACTCTTGACTCAGGCTTGGTTTGGAATATCTTGATCAGCATCATATTGGCTTTCACACCATTGAATTGGGATTAGTCTGGAGTATCTTGATCAGCATCACATTGACCTTCATATCATGGACTCAGGCTTGGTTGATCAGCATCACATTGGCCTTCACACTGTTGACTCAGGCTTAGTTTGGAGTATGTTTATCAGTACTATCTTGGCCTTCACACTGTTGGCTTGGGCTTAGTTTGGAGTATCATGATCAGCATTGCATTGCCCTTCACACTGTTGACTTGGGCTTAGTTTGGAATATATTGATCAGCATCACATTGACCTTCATATCATGGACTCAGGCTTGGTTGATCAGCATCACATTGATCGTGACTCTGTTGACTTGGGCTTAGTTTGGAATATGTTGATGAGCATCACATTGGCTTTCACACTGTTGACTCAGGCTTAGTTTGGAGTATGTTTATCAGTATTACCTTGGCCTTCACACTGTTGGCTTGGGCTTAGTTTGGAGTATCTTGATCAGCATTGCATTGGCCTTCACACCGTTGACTTGGGCTTAGTTTGAAGTATCTTGAAGAGCATCACATTGACCTTCACTATGTTCACTTGGGCTTAGTTTGGAGTATGTTGTTGCTCATCACATTGGCCTTCACACTGTTGACACAGGCTTAGTTTGGAGTATGTTTATCAGTATTACCTTGGCCTTCACACTGTTGACTTGGGCTTAGTTTGGAGTATCTTGATCAGCATTGCATTGGCCTTCACACCATTGACTTGGGCTTAGTTTGGAGTATCTTGATCAGCATCACACTGACCTTGACACCGTTGACTTGGACTTAGTTTGGAGTATCTTTGTCAGCATCACATTGACCTTCATATCGTGGACTCAGGCT